TCGCCCGCTACGCAAGAGAGATGGAATGAGCTGCCTTGTCTGCTTCACGAGGAACCTGGAGGTGATGATTCACATTGTGTCAATGACTTCAGTAACCCACTGGAAATTTGCATCACTAAATAGAACACTTCTGATTATTTCTGTTGATATGGAACTTAGCTTGAGTGGGTATGATAACTGGTGCTTACCTGGTCTGATTGGGACACGGAAGCCGGGGCATTGTTGAGGTCCTTCAGCATTCGGTTTGTGTCCTTAGCTAATTGATTGGTGTAGTGCTGGACTTCATCACTGATGACAAAAAATAAACCAATGAAAATGGAGTACTAAACGTTGATATAATGAACGTCATCACTATACCGAACATTTGGCTGTAACAAACATTCCCTGTCACTTCAGAAATTTGTGTACAAATATACTGTCAACTTGAGGCCAATAATTGCTATTACAAATGACCACTAAACAATATTTATGAACCCAATTGCTTTGTTATATAGTGAATTTCTGCTGTACTTGTAAAAGGGAGGGAGAATCTCAATGTTTGTTTGATTGCAATACCTGAGAAGGGCAATCTTTGTTCATTCCAAAGAATGAGTATTATTTTAACATTAAGTTTCAATTAATGTGGATGAAGCACTAACAGTTTTGATCTGAGAGTCTTGTTGTCGTCAGGCGTTCCCAGCCGAGGGATGATCCGCTCAATTTCTTTCACTGTGGAAGTAAAACATCAAGATATGTGATAAAACCCACTCAGAAATTTGTGACTGGTGAAAAATGGTCAAGGGTTTGAATCCAGTTGTTTACCATGAGCTATGTATTTCCACTTCCCCTTTTCAACAGATTTATATATTGGACAATGAACAGGACTGACTTACCATTCTGGGAGATTTTCTGTATGTTGGAACCTATGCCTTGCATCCGTCTGTTCTGATCTGCTGCGGAGCTGTTCCGCCCTGTGGAAAAATAATGGCAATGATATCAGAATTCAAATACTCAATGAACTACTCGGCTGAGTCCAGTAAAAGTATTTGCATCAGATTAGCTGGTTCAGAGTCATAAGCTTCGTTGTCTTACAATTTTTGTCCAATGAAGTAAAACTACATAGTCTCATCGCCCCACTTAAGAGTACAAAATATGGGGAGTCAGCTTGACGTCACGGTACTTTCCTCGCCTTCCACTGCTGTGACCGGGTTCGAATCCCGTCTTGGCCAACAATGGATGGGGTTTTGGGGTTTCGGTTTTCTGATTCCATTTGTTTTCCCCAGAATATTCTTCTGGGGTTTCCTCCCACCTCTTAAACTGTAACTTCTTCTCATTGTCTTCTCTGCACACTCAGGCTTGCGAGCTACAGTGACTAGGGCGCTTTTGAGGAATCCTTGGTTTCATTACCAGAAATAAATAAATAAATAAATGAATAATATTATTAACAATAATAATAATAAAGATTAAGTTCAATTTTTGCCTGAACAATAAATCCACCACTGAGAGTCCTTAGCAAGTGCGAGTTGGTATCAGTCTCCCCGTTATTTAGTTTTATAAACACATTTATTTATTATAATTTTGAATTATTTTGAAAGAACTGTAATTTGCTAAATAACACGTACCTCCAGAGCCAGAGTTGTATGTGGAGTAACCCCCATCGCTATACGCACCACCTCCCGTCCCTCCAAAACGGCCAAACGACATCTTAATGTTCTGTTATGGATTATTTATGGATTCTGTTAAATAAATGTAAACTTAAATAAGAAGCATATATAAATGATACTTGCTGTCTAGTTCCTCCTGATACAAATTAATATTAACGTTGGAAAATAAGATTGTGATTTTTTTATTGCACGATGTTACATCGAGGAAGGATAAGTAACTGCCAAAATTTACAAGTTGATTGAAACAGCATCTTCTTTGCTGAATAAACAAACAACGAAACAAAAACAATGACATATATGGACTTGTACACAAGGTGGCTTCAATTGTATGAGTAAAACATTTCGAAAAGTTTTAACGTAAAAAGAGAAAAAGACAACAGCCATTGGTCAGGTTTGTTATGAACAATATGATCATAATGCCGAGCTGCCAAGTAACAAAAATATACCAGTTTCTCGTCCCGGGCCGCTTCCTTTTTATTTGTTTCCAACAAATTTGAAGTCATTTATTGTAGAAAGGGCATGAAGGGTTAAGGCTCCTTTGAAATTTTTTTTTCTATAAGCAAAGAGTCCACTAAATGGAGACAAAAAAAAACATCTTGGGGAAAAAAACCGCCCGCCTCCTTCATTTAAAGAAAAGTTTGGACGAACACTTTTTTTTTTAACTCGGCCTACTGACATGGAACATTTTCAAACGTTATTTTTCGCTCTAAAATTATCAATTAAACATGTCAAACCTGTCTTGACCAATAATTATAATTGATAATTAGTAATTTATAGCATACTTTTTGAATGTAATAATAGTTTCATAATCATCATCAGACATGACCAAGAAAAGCAAAAATAGAACATCCATTTGAAAAGAGACATAGTGAGAATGGAGAACAGAGAAGTAAAGAGGAACTGTTTTCCCCGTAATTATTGTTTGTTAAACATTACACATAGACCTTTATTTAGACCCGTAAACATTGCTTAATATACACAGCCACGCTATGTTCATATCTCTGGACTTTCGACATGTTTGAAATCCCGGATAAAGACCGTCTATTTACAGTCCCGAAATCAAACGAGCACTGCGTGTTCAGTACTTACATAAGAGGTTATCCAAGAACTTCCAGTGGCAAAGGATCTGTCGTTCCAAAGAAATTTGAGGGGAAAATGCAGCACAACAGCAACACGAACATTAGTTAGAAGTTTCAAAGTCCAGAGTCATGAACGGAGCGTAGCTATTACAAAAAAGTACTATTAACTACAGCCACTATTACGGGTCTACCATGTCTACCCTTTAATGACCACACACAATCATTTATCAACTTCAAATAAAAAATATAAGAAACAGAGGTGGATATGAATCCTTCAGTGTACAGGTTACAAAGTGATCAACAAACCAATGAGTGTGAGTCATGCTGGCAACTACATGCTTAAATTATGTACACATTAATTACTGTGTGGTTTTTCCATTAAATGTCCTTTGCAAGTACATTTACGATTCGGCTATACGTATGTGGCCAAGGAAAAGGGTTTATGCGCCAAAAGGCTCGTGATAAATCGAGCCGAAAACTCACCGAAAGTGGGCGGGCGTTCAGTCATTATCGTCCTCTTACATATGTTTTGTTGTAAACGTAGGCCTACGTGACATGATTTGGGGTTTGTCAATCTTTAACATTAACAATAGAGGGCCCTTCCTATCGCTTTTGAACTCTTGAGGGCGTATTATAAACCGACAGAAAAGTGGACAAGTGAAACTTGGAAACTTGAATTTGTTAGCGAAATTTTTCTACGAGTTTTTTGCAGGAACCTGTAAAAAAAAAAAAAAAATAGTTTAAAACGTAGAAATGTAAGAAAGAACACAATATGTATTTTTATCCTGCTATAAATGCAAAGAAAACAGTGATTATTTTAATGTATTCCTTTCTCCAAGCCGTTTCGCGGATACCGCCATCTTGCTTGAAATCGTGATTGCGCAATGGCTCAGGGGGCACACGTGACCCACACTGAAAATCCGTAACGTGAATGGTGTGGTGAGGTCAGAACTGCTCTGAAAAAAAACTCTCTTTTTTTTCATTGAAAGAACACAATTTTGGGTACAGAGTTTTACAAACTGATAAATGGGGCATTGAACTGTCCATGGGTGAAAAAAACATTCATAAAATATTACATGCAAAGGCAGCCATTAAGCTCGAAAAGTGAAAATTTATCGCGATAAAAGTAGTCACGTGACCGCGCGTGCAATCACACAAACGATCCGGACATGAGGAGAGCCCGGAGCGTCAGTGCGACACTAAATTTTCGGCAATGTGCTTGGTCACGTGACTACTGTTTGCGAAAAAAATGTCCCTTATCGAGCTTGGTGCCGTCGCATGTGACATCTTTTAAATATTTTTTTTAACCTATGGACAGGTCGATGTCCTATTTATCAGTTTGTAAAACTCTCCGAAATTGTGTTCTTTTCATGGAAAAAAAATCCAAAAGAGATCTGACCTCCCCATGCCTTTTACGCTACCGATTTTCAGTGTGGGTCACGCGTGCCCCCCCCCCCCCCAGCCATTGCGCAATCACGATTTCAAGCAAGATGGCGGTATCCGCATAAAGGCTTATGCCGAATTATCACAATTCAGAACTGCCGAAGTTAATTCAAGCATGCAGAAAGTTCATGATTCAAGCCAGGCCCGTCGCCAAGGGGAGCGGGCTTGTGGGGCCGGGCCCCCCATGGCGAGCAATTGCCCCCCATAGGCAAAAGCCATACATATGTATTTTTGTATTTTATGATAGTGCCCCCCTAGTTGGTACTGCAAATTAACTCTGCAGTAACTAATGAAGAATCTACAGTAAGCCAGAGTTGTCGGATTGACCGCCCCCGTAGCATTATAAGAGAGCCCTCCCTCAAACCCAGGGGAGGTTTCGTCAAGGCAACGCATGGAGGGTACGTCTGATTGAGGGCAATGAGAAATAGCGCCCCCAATGTTTTTCCAATGCAAGTATTATTTTGTGACCGAAATGTTGTGTTATTAATAATCGTCATTAATTTTATCTTCTGTTATAATCACACAATTTTTGAAATAAAGTAATTTTGAGCGATCTGTATCTTTTGGTTTTCGTTTTACTTTTGCTTTCTATTTATTTTCATATTTTGTAATGCGAATTCCTTAATATGTGTAGTATGAATACCTAGTCATCCCTATCTACACAACACATTATATAAGTCCATGTTTGATTCTATTGCAAGGATAAAGATTAATTATCAGATAATGAAAGAGATATCACCCAATATCTAACTCACAGTGCACTTACAGTGTACATAGATGGTAAATGCGTATTGTGTTGTCATATACGTAGTGGTATAATGATAAGACAGTGGCCATTTGAACATTAGTAATCGATACCAATTGGAGGCCATGTCTAAATAAGCTGACCAAAGCCCCTCGTAGTAGAGCGGTTTTTTTTCGACATTGTTTTTCCTTTGATTTGAGCGGATCGATTAACTTCTACATTAGAAGAGATGTAGCCGGTATTATTTGGAAATCGTCAAATGAATCGATTTCGGGAAACTTTCTGAGTTGAATCGTTCACCTTTTTCGTTTGAGCGTCATGAACTTCCAGAATGCCGTCTCAGAGTAAATCAGTGCTGGCGTGTCTGGTGGTGATGGTACTGGCGTTTCTGACTTTGAAATGCCAATCTTCTTCAGGTAAATAATAGTTTAAGCATACCAGTGTTAGATTGTCTGTCTAGGCCTAGTTTGTCAACCACTAGCCCTGCCTTTGGCCCTTGTCCGTTGTCTGTTTTTCGATATGACTTCGCGAGAGACCCCTTTTTCCGTCCGCCCCTTTTTATTAATTAAGTGTCATTCATTCTCCATTCAAAACAAGTGATTTGGGGGTTTGGTCGTTAAGATACAACGGAATGCAAAAAAAGTCTAGAGCGACAACAATCCCTGAATTTGAATATCAGTTTACTTTGTACAAAATTAATGTCTACGTAAGTCCTTGTAGGCTTGTAAATCTGTACCCTACTTTTTGATGAATTCCTAGCTCTCTGTTCATCATATCTGTGTGCCTCAATGATGTACGCATACTTGTGAATTGCGAAGTTATGTAGAGCCTTCTTAATTTACCAATCAAAAGAAGTCCATTTTCTCCTTGGGTCACTTCAAAAGGTCACCCTCGTAAAAATGTGTACCTCTCCACTTCCATTTTAGCCTCAGCATGTACCTCGATCCCAACCTTCTCCAATGCCACATGTACGCTGCTAGACCTCTCCACTGAGGTGTACGCAGTCTGCTCCTGCGATCCTGGGTACGAGCCTGAGGGTCCTGCCTCCGTAGCTGTGCTGAGGTGTAACGACACAGATAGCTGGGAGGGTGACGGTCCCGCATGCACCTGTAAGTAGGCAGAACTCAGCTTGATTTCAAATTGCTTTGTGTTTTGTTTTGTTATCTTTTAAAGCCGGTATGAGGAAAAGAGAGGTAAGTGACCATGCAAAAGGTCCTTCCTTCAATCTTCTCTTTTCAACATGTGGGGAGTACTCGTGCACACCCTCAACAACCGTTCAATTTTCGTCATAATCTTATACTTTCTAGTAATAGAGTGTCCCGATCCAATAGTGCCAGCATGGAGTTCTCTAGATGGACCCACGATCGCCGGGTATTATCCAGGCAGTACCGTGTCATACACCTGCCAGGCGAGCTATGCAGCGGTGGGCAACAGCACGCAAACATGCCAAGCAGACGGCACTTGGTCTGGCCTCGACTTGTACTGCCGACGTAAGATAACATCTACGTACTTTCAAGAATGGTTTTCAGTTTCTCCTTGATTTTGCATAGCACTTAATGAAACCACCAAAAGAAAGTGACCCAAGACGCATCCACCGGTAATGGTGCTCAAGGCGCTACATATTATTACCCCTGCTCATTGAGCCAATGAAACATTCCAAAGACAATCTCAGCTCCCCGGGGAGTGTACAGCTCGATGCTACCATTTGGGCACAAAGCGGCTGAAATCAACCAACATATACATCGTTTCTGCCTTCATGGGTACCCATTTACTCCTGGGTGGGAAGAACAATTGGTAACAAATGTCTTGCCCAAGGACACACGCACCACAACCCCAGACTGGATTCGAACCCACAACCTGCAGAATTAACCACAGATCTTGAATTCGATGCTCCAGGCCATCACTATGCTTGATGCCTCCTCATGACCACGTTTATTGAATGAAATACAAACAAAAATATATATTTAAATTCAGGACGGATTTCGTTTTTTAATATTTGTACAGCTTCTTGTCCGACTGGCGGCCTTCCCAACGAGAACCACTGCTATTTCATCAAGGAGGACCTTTTCCACGACTGGGACAACGCCCGCTTGGCCTGCGAGAGCGACGGCTACGCCCTGGCAAAGGTGGAATCCGCCAGCCAGCAAGATTTCCTCAAGACCGAGTTGCATGCCAGGGGGAGTGCTCTCGAATACTGGATCGGCGGCCATGAAGCCAGGCCATGGGTGTGGGAACACAGTAAGTTTGTCCTTGTCCCAAAGGGCCACCTATTGTCCTATTGCTCACTGAGTCACGGAGTATGAGATGCCACTGAGTCACTAAGTAAAAGGTAAAGTAGAAAGATTGCGGGTAACACCATGTGGAGAGTAATCTTTTCTTGGATGAAGTGTGGTTCTGAGAAGAACTGGTTAGTTGAGTGTAGAACTCGACGTTTCGGACCGTGTGCTCTGTCCGTCCTGGGGAGGGTGAGATGGACAGAGCACACTGTCCGAAACGTTTAGTTCTACACTCAACCAACCGGTTCTTTTCAGAACCACACTTCTTCCATGAAGAAATTACTTTCCACATGTTGTTACCCGCAATCTTTCTACTTTATCTCATCTGCCATGCAAAGCTTCGAGTCATGTATAAGTAAAAGGTGTCACTGAGTACAACACGACCCATTAACATGAAACTTTTGGATCCAGTCCCAGTTTTGATATTTCGTAAACGATCATAATATAATTGTTTCTCAACCTCACAGGCAAGAAGTTCCCCGAGTTTTTACCCTGGGCTCCGGGCGAGCCCAACAACCAAGGGGGCGAGGATTGCCTACAGCTGAGCTCTTACTCTGACTCGTCAGGGACCCCTCACAACTACCGCTGGAATGATCAAAGCTGTGACGATCTCAGCTACGCCATCTGCCAGTTTGGTAAGAGTTATGGTCAATCGTAAGTTACCCATTCTCCGGTCAAGTTGCAAGAGTATCACACACATTTGACCTGTGATCAAGTATATGGGAAAAACCGGCAAGAGGCTTAAAAAAATGCACTTCTCAAAAATCTTTTCTTTCCTATTTTGTCTTTCAGCTTCCCCGTGTCCGATATCAGCCTTAGCAGCATATAACCAATACGACTACGACAGCCACTGTTTAGTCTTTGTCGATGCACTAATGAGCTGGTACTCGGCCAGGGATGACTGCAGTTTACAAGGCGGATGGCTGGTGGAGGTGGTGAACCAGGCAACTCAAGAATTCCTGGTCGAGACTTTGCTGCGTGATTTCTCATCGGGCGTGCTCTCCCATTGGTGGATCGGGGCGATAATTAATAACACTGTGACAGAACGCGCGTGGAGATGGACTGATGGTAATTTAGTTGACTTTTGCAATGTTGTAGATTTTTTTTCCAAAGAAGGTGTAACAAATACAGGTAACACAACATACCCCAAAACATCCCAAGTGACAACCATTAAGGCAGGTAAAAGTGCCTAGAGGAGGACAAGCTGCCCCCCCCCCCCCCCGGGATGCGACCAAATGATATTCGGTTTAAAGGAAATAAACGGTTAGCCAAATTTAGACAACCTTTTTTTTGGTAACATTATGAAATAAATTATCGATTCAGAATTATGGCGAGTAAAACACTAAGACGTCTTGTTTGGGGCCGAAGTTTTATCAAAGGCTTTGTATTTTGTGTTTACTTTATTTAGATGTGTTAATAACCAACCTCTTTTGGAAACCGAACGAGCCTAACGGCCTGGATCAGAGTTGTATCTCAATGCTGAGTCTCGACGACTTCGAGTGGGACGACCAGTACTGTTACCACCTCCTCTATCGTGTATGTCGATACGGTGAGGACAATCAATTTGCTGTTTTTATCCGAAGGCGCCGGTATCGACTAATTTTCACTGAGATCTCATTGGACGGATTTTGTTTGTCAGTGCGTTAATCATGGTGGTATTACGATCAGTAATTTTCGTTTCCTTCATAAAATGTGAAAGAAATTATCGGGGTTTGACGTAAAATGGACGTTCCATTGCAAAACTATTAAGCCCCTAAAATATGTTTTCATAATGCTAGATATTAAAACCACATTGGGCAATAAGCCCCACCCACCCTCGACTTGTGTATATTCTCACATTGCTTGTGACCGAGTTTGACCGAGCTACTGCGGTCACCTGATCAAAAGTCGTAATCTGATTGGTCAATGCGCACTATGTTTGATTGACAGACAGAAAGGGTCATTTTCTTTGCTCGCCGTTAATTTCGCGCCATTTTTCCCCACAGACTTGCAGAACACCACGTGCGGGGACCCGGGCTGGCCGTTACACGGCCAGCGATCTGGAAATTCCTCCAACACGAATGGTGTGGTGCAGTATACCTGCGATGAAGGGTACCAGCTGAAAGGTCCCGGATCTAGGGTCTGCCTGGCTAGCGGTGATTGGAGCGGAGAGGAGCCCTCGTGCAATAGTAAGTTATTATTGCGTCTATTCCTTTGAGTATTTACCTTGTAAATTCTGCAATTGAATAGTTTGTGATACTCAACCAAAAAAATATCGACCATTCATACTTAAGTTAGGTTTCAGTCAGTTTTAATTAAACCTGCAATTTAATTACTTCTAATGGAAATAACAGTTGTCAGTTAAATTTAAATGTATGAAAGGAAGAATATTCGATATTTTAAAAATTATTGTCTTAATTTGAATTGCAACCAATACATTTTTCAAATTTCTGAAAATGCAAACTTTTAAAAAGAAACATTGTAAATATTTCTGAAATAGAACAAAAAATCTGAACAGTTACTTATTTAAATTATTGGACCAAGATGCATGGCAGATATAAGTCCCTGCGTCCGACGCTGTTGCGTTGACTATCTGATACCGGTTCCCAGTGTAGCCAGAAGCATCATCCGGCAGGACGAAGATTGAGACGCGAGGGTCGTAGGCGTGGTTTCCATCCGTTAACGACTCCACAGCCGTGTCGTGGACTCTCCCCCAGCCGATTTCAATCCGGTCCTCTCGTGAGATGGAGCAGTTGAGGGTCAGGACCTCGCCTTCCGATACTTGGATGCTTTCCAGGGGAGGAGAGGCTTCGCCTTTAGTCAGACGCAGAGCATCCGCGCTCCACTTGCCATCAGCCGCTAACAGCGCAAGGACAAAGCAACCAACTGCTATACTCGGGACAGAAACCAATCTTCTTCCGTCAGGGGAGGCAGCTTTAAGCATCTCCACTTTATTGTACTTCATAGTCCACAATGACAAAATGACAAAGTGCTTCCAAGCAAGTGCTTACACCAGTTGTAAATCTCCTGAACGTTTCGCCGTGCGTTGTAGTTTACATGTATTGTCTACGCATTGGAGCTACTGCTTGAATATTAAGAAATTGCCAAACTCTTCGAAATATTTTTCAGATATCACAGTAGGATACAAATGAGTTTGAATTCGCAGGAGAGCTCACCGGCATTAATGATGAAGAGACGTGGATGACGTCGTATTTTTAATCAACGGATTCGCGTGCACTACGACATTGCCAAAATAATCTATTTTTATTTCGATTGGGATTTTTTTAGGTGGTTGACGTAATACACGGAAGCATCTATAAAAGGCCGCTCCCACAAGGAAAGAAAAACAAGTCCGTTCATGTTTGGCTTTTGTTTGTCGTGCTTCGTTTTCAAAACATCTTTGTTTGTGTTCAATCCTTTTCCATCAGAAAACAAACATTGAAGAGAGCACTCAGTGATGCAACATTGGTTGACTATTAGCAGGTTGTGAATTGTTTTAATATTATTCTGGAAACTGTCAACTTTAGAAGTTTAATAAACCAATCATACTTTTCAGCCCAAAGAAGTGGGTTTTTTTTTAGTTTGCAACCGATGACGTCATGGTGACGTAAATGTGACACTTAAGCACCGACTCTTAGCCACCAAGTGTATAAGAAACGTGCATGTATGTAAGGTTCAAAGCAAATTTTCTTAGTTTTTCAACTCTATAGTTTTAACGGTATCAGATTGTACTCCCCCCCCCCCCAAAAAAAAATATCTGCAATGCGTGCGTCATTATTGGTATTACTTACGGTTGGCTTTCCATTGAAGTTGTAACCCTTATCTATCTTTCTTTTCGGTGGGGTGTTTTTTTTTATTAACCGTGTGGCTGAAATAATATGAAAACATCGCCAATCTAGAAAGGTAGTCTGTGTGTTTGCTGGCGTTGTCCTTGACGTTGTCGCGATCACACGGTCGAGTGCATCAGGGCATTGTGTGCCAGCCCGTACAAGTTTAAGATTGGAGATCCGGGTTCCCACGGACATAAAAGCCTCGAAAAAAAATATCTGACGGGAATCGGAAACTCTCGAACCCCAAAAATTCCCACTTCGGAGTTTATTGCATCATGCACTACGTCAGCTGTCATTTAAATATTCAGTCAACAATTCCATCGCTGGAAGCTACATATCACATGTGATATTACCGTATAGCTACTTATCCGAACATGTTGGGAAATTTTAGACCAAAAATAGACAGACTTTCCTCAACTCCAAAACAGCTTTTTGACGGTCCAACTGATGTAAGGAAACGTCACAATCTCAGGAAAAGAAACACAATTTCTTTTGGTGGAAATCTCCGGCAGGATACCAGACTGAATTGCCAAGTATAAGCTGCGCCTGATTATATTTACCTCCCAAGTTCACTTTGAAATTTAACAAGGAAATGATAGTGCGTACAAGCCCGGTCCGCCGTCGCGTTACACGCAAAAATCAAGCGGTGAAAATGGATCAAATTAAGCCCCATAAGTTTCCCATAAAGTTATCGCGTAATATATCACGTGACTATAACAACTGTACATTATCTTGCCTCCATTTACACACAATTTTCATAAAACAACTTTACAAATTGTTACAAGAATTTTTTGTCAGGTACTTAATTTCATTTGTTTGCTTTTTCTTTAAATTTAAATGTTGTAGTTATATTTGATGGGAAACTTAGGGGGCTCGTTTTGGGTCAGTATTCCGGGGACAGACATAATGCAAAATAGCCGCGCATGCGCATCGATCGAGACAAAGCCCGTTCGATGACTTTTATTTTGGTAAATTTTCGGGGACAGACAGACGGATAGACGGACCGACTGACCGACCACCAAGTGACATGTAGATGCTCCTGTCAGAGCGTAAAAACAGTTTGTAATTATAAGGCTATAGGCTTTAGATACAATTTTGTATTCGTTTTTCCCCCAGTTATATCGTGTAGTGACCCTATCATACCCAATAGCAACGTCACCGTACTCTCGTCCGAATTTCGAGGCGTGGCCATCTTGTCATGCGCGGAGGGATATAAGGTGGAGGGTGATCCGGTCATTCAATGTGGTAGCAACGCTTCATGGATTCCTACAACTAACTGTACTAGTGAGTGTATTTTAGTGTGCGATAAAAACATCCTTTTCAAGTTAATGATTAAAGTTAAGAAAAAAAATTATCTGAACTTTTTCATCATATGAAATTTTCACTTCTGTGTTTCCTGTCTGTAGTAATCACTTGCGGCGAACCAGCAATCATACCAAATGGTAACGCTACTGTGCTATCCTACGAGTACCAGGGAACCGCCATGTTGTCCTGCGAGGAGGGATATGAAATGGAAGGCGAAAGTAATATCTCATGCCTTAGCAACACTTCTTGGAGTTCAACCAACTTCACATGCAACGGTAAGTGAGAACGTTGGTCAGTTCCAAAACTTTGATCTGTGTTGGGTAGTATCTTAAACATCTGGTTTGCAAAAGTGTTACATCTCAAAAACAACACTTTTATTGGTGCTCTCTTTGTAATAATTCCTTTCTTGACAGTCGTACATTGTGGTGAACCGCCAACCATACCCAACGCTAACGTCAGTGTGCTGTCGTATGACTACCAGGGTGCCGCCATTTTGTCCTGCGCGGATGGATATGAAATGGAAGGCATGGACACGATCTTTTGCTTGAGCAACGCTTCATGGAGCTCAACTAATTTCACCTGCAATAGTACGTGAGAGTTTTCTAAACTGCTTGCTTCAAGATACTAAATAATTCCAGTATGAGGGGTATTCAGACGTGGTATCTTAAATAAAAAGAACTTAACAGCCTAACCCAGCGATTGTATACTGTTGTTCTTTGCAGTAATTTCTTGCGGGGAACCACCGACCATTCCTAACGGTAACGTAACCGTGCTGTCCTACGAGTACCAGGGAACCACAATTTTATCCTGCGCGGAAGGATATGAAATGGAAGGCGAAAGTAATATCTCATGTCTTAGCAACTCCACTTGGAGTTCAACCGACTTCACATGTAACAGTGAGTGAACGTTTTGGTCGGCTTCCAAATTTTTATTTTTGCTGGACAGTATCTTAAAAAATCGACTTGCAAAAAACTAAAAGTATTACATCTCAAAAAGCAAAACTTTAATTCATACTCGTTTCGTATGTGGCTTCTTTTTTTCAAAGTCGTGCGTTGTGGTGAACCGCCAACCATACCAAATGCTAACGTCAGTGTGCTGTCTTATGAGTATCAGGGCGCCGCCATTTTGTCCTGCGAAGAAGGATACGAAATGGAAGGGAGTAATGCCATCTTTTGCATGAGCAACGCTTCGTGGAGCTCAACAAATTTCACTTGTAATAGTAAGTGAGAGTTTTGTACACTGTTTGCTGCAAGATACTAAATAATTCCAGTAAGGAGTATAATGCAAGAACTTGAAATTTAAGTTTTTGCCAAACTTCATAACAGACGTACGTGGTATCGTACATAAACAAGGACTAAACAGCCTAACCCAGCGATTGTATACTGTTGTTCTTTGCAGTAATTTCTTGTGGTAAACCACCGACCATACCAAATGGTAACGTTACCGTTCTGTCCTACGAGTACCAGGGCGTCGCTACTTTCTCATGTGCGGAGGGATATGAAATGGAAGGCGAAAGTAGTATCTCATGCCTGAGCAACACTTCCTGGAGTTCAACCAACTTCACTTGTAACAGTGAGTGATATTCAAGGCGATTTCAAGTGTTAAACAGGGCATCCTTAAGACTTAATTTTCCAAAGTTTGAAAAAAAAGTAATGTGCGACTGCAAACTTTATTGCACAATTCCAATATTTCTAAAGGCATGATTATCCTTTATCAGTGCTCTTGTCTTGTGTTGCTTCGTTTGTTTTAGTTGTTTATTGTGGTGAACCGCCCACCATACCAAATGCTGACGTCTCTGTGATGTCGTATGAGTATCTGGGCGCCGCCATTTTGTCCTGCGCAGAAGGCTATGAAATGGAAGGGATGGACACGATCGTTTGCTTGAGTAAAGCGTCATGGAGTTCAACTAATTTCACATGTAATAGTAAGTGAATATTTTTTAAAGTGTTTGCTTCAAGATACTAAATCAGTAGTACAATTTCTTTACCATGGTATTGAAATGATTGTACATGAAATGTGGTATCTTACAAAAAATGACTTTAATAAAGCTTTAACCTAGCGTATACTCTGGTTTTTCCTGCAGTAGTTTCTTGTGGTAAACCACCGACCATACCAAATGGTAACATTACCGTGCTTTCCCACGAGTACCAGGGCGTCGCTATTTTCTCCTGCGCGGAGGGATATGAAATGGAAGGCGAAAGTAATATCTCATGTCTTAGCAACTCCACTTGGAGTTCAACCAACTTCACATGTAACAGTAAGTCAAAGCCTTGCTGAACAATTGTTTTAAACAAAGATCTTTGTTTCATGCTCCATGATCCACTTTTGCCCAAGTTTTTGTCGGCTATTTTGGGTCCACCTTAAACTTATGCTTAAATCCAAATAGTCATTAGTACTGTACAGTTGGGGATATCTTAAACAAATCACTTGCAAAAACTCAACTTGGCAATCATACATCATCATCAATCACTGAGAGGTCACAGTTCTTATTGTCTGTTGACTTTCTTTTTACTTTCCAGTCGTCAATTGTAGTGGACCACCCGCCATACCTAATGGAAACGTCACCGTCGTTTCGTATGAGTACCAGGGTGCCGCCATTTTGTCCTGTGCGAATGGATATGAAATGGAAGGCATGGACACGATCTTTTGCTTGAGCAACGCGTTATGGAGCTCAACTAATTTCACCTGCAATAGTACGTAAATCATATAAACGGTCGGAACAATGAAATCAAGTAACTGAATTAACAGAGATCGAGTAATGAACCTCTCAGTTTTGTCGTTGAAATTAACACCCAAATCCCAATGTTCCATGAAAGACGTGATATCTGAAAAACAAACATGGATCATTAACTAATGTCTGTTATTGTATTTTCCCCCAGTTATCTCGTGCGGGGAACCACCGACCATTCTTAATGGTAATACCACGGTCGTCTCGTATGAGTACCAGGGAGCCGCCATTTTGTCTTGCGCGGAAGGTTATGAGGTAGAAGGCGAGGATGTGATATTTTGTCTGAGCAATGGCTCGTGGAGTTCAGTCAATTCCACCTGCAAAAGTAAGTGGAGAAGAAAATCAAGTTGTAAACCTCGGAGAAACAAAAGAAAATCGATTTTGTAAAAATTCTTCAGACCAAAGATTCGCCATTCAGCAATTCGACATCGCTTGTCCTTCAAAAGCGCCCTAGCTGTAAAGGTTGCAAAACAGATTCATAGGTTTTGGTCAAGCGGTAAGTTAAAACTGTTCAAATGAATGGCATAATTGATCTGCGTTTTTGTCTTGTCAGTGTTGGCCACCACAGAGTCTTTTCTGTTGCCCTCAACGATGGGTGATACAACAACCCAGATCATGTGGACAGCAGCTGGGGGTGACCCTACGACATTATCGCAGGCCACTGTGTCGAAGTCAACAACGACATCTTTTGTGTCCACAACAGAAGAATCCACAACGGCTGAGTCCACAACCGCTGATTCAACAACAGTCGATTCCACAACAGTCGATTCCACAACAGCCGATTCCACAACAGTCGATTCCACAACAGCTGATTCCACAACAGCCAAATCAACAACAGCCGATTCTACAACAGCCGAATCAACAACAGCCGATTCTACAACATCCCATTCCACAACCGCCGATTCAACAACAGTCGATTCCACAACAGTCGATTCCACAATAGCTGATTCCACAACAGCCAAATCAACAACAGCCGATTCTACAAAAGCCGAATCAACAACAGCCGATTCTACAACAGCCGAATCAACAACAGCCGATTCTACAACAGCCCATTCCACAACCGCCGAATCAACAACAGCCCATTCCACAACCACCAATTCCTCAACAACCGATTTTACAACTACAGCCGAATCAACTACTTTTGAATCGACTACAGACGAGTCAACTACAGTCGAGTCCACAACATCTGAGATGACGACTGTAGCCACAAGTCCACAAACAACGCAACCCCAATCCTCTATCCGCGCGACTCCACTAACTTTCATCCACACATCTCCAACGGACAATCAACAAGTTCTAACACATGGGAGTACGAGTTCAACCAACTCGGAAAACCCGTCAACTCCTGACTCAACCGACATCGCATCAACCACTGCACTTGTCGATTCAACTAAAAGCCAGACGACACCGCGTGTGACCTCTTCAACCGTGACCTACTTCAGCTCATCCACTTCCTTATCAACAACAGAAGCTGATAAGAAACCTACATCAGCCCCGTTGACAGATTTCGAGACTTTTAGTAAGTAGTCGTCAGTTAATTTCCTAAACTGCTAAGATTCGCTGCTAAATAACCTATCTCTTACAATGTCTTTCTTTGAGGTTCGAAAATTTACGACAGCTGATGACTTTTTTACTTTTCTTCCAGTGCTCATCATTGTCATCTGTTTGCCAACTTTTCTCATCCTCTTTGCGAGCGTCGTCTATCTTGTCTTCGTGTGCAAGAACAAACGGTAAAGTTTAAGTTTCACAACCAGCCTAAATTTCCACAATTAAAACAACATATTTAACAAAAGAGGTCGCAGTAACGAAGTCCTTATTTAAATAGGACTTTGTAAAAATCACTGCATGTGATTACTGCTTTAAATGATAATATGAATGAGGCTGTGTTAATATACACAGTGCAATCTTTGCTGTACAAGTTTTTACAAATGCTAAATCTTTCTACGATTTTGTTGCTGTGAACAGTGTGGAGTTACAAAATTGTAACTTCTTTTTTTGTTCTCCCAGCTCTGGGAAAAAGATCCACCCAATGGAGACCGACGAAATGATGTCACAGCTCAGTGCTGACGTCATGAAGAATCCCCAATCACAAGAGGACCACCAATCTGCAAGAACTGTCTTGCAAACAGAGGGCGCTGTGTCTCGTTCCGTCAGGCCGCCAACAGGGGGCGCTCTGCCTGAAGTTAGGTTCTCTCGATCTCATCTTTCAAATGATGGGAGCAGTGTTGCATCTTCGAGGATAAAATCGAAGACTAACAGTGCTAGAAGAGGGAGAAGCGGCACAGTCAAAACAGCTTGGAGTGAAGAGAGCTCCCTGCCCGTTTCAAAAGCTTCGAAGGCTTATGTAGAGGATTTCGTCTAGCACCAGTTGGATTAAAATTGTCCATAACTGGTTCTTTTCATATTGGGGCCTTGTAAATAGCATACTACATCACACGCATCACACGCAGAGCTAGCTATGTGTGAATTGTTTACAATACGTTGATGGTCGATATTCCTTCGATATACTCTTCTTGATTAGTTGCAAATTTTCAATAATAATTCTGTAGATCCCATTTCACCTTAATTGAAAACTTGGAAATAAATGTCTCATTTGATATTAAATTCCATCTCTTGCATTTTTAAGGTATTTCACTATTTTTGTTTCCTTTTTTAGTTGCTGGCAGAAATCTGAGTTGTATTTTTCTAATTCTTTTTAACTTTATAATACGCTATTTCGTTCAGAGTTTGTATATTCTCGTCGTTAAAACATGAGATTATTTTATCAAGTGGTTCTTTTCCCATATTAATTTTTCACGGAAAACAAATAACTTGGGTGTGTCGGCATTACGCTATGTCGGGATAAAGTACCAAAACTGAAACCCTATTTTTTTGTTGACAATTGAAAAAATAATTATTAAAAGGGACTTCGAACTTTACAAACACTGAGACTGCATCGCGTATTGGTAACTACTAGAGTGTGGTGATGGATGTATGTTGACACGATACCACAACAGAGTCCGTGCACAGCTATCGCATTATATTGTAATCAGTCTTCACTGCGCTGCCCACGGTAAGTTAAGCTTCATCTCACTGCATAAAACCTGTTGAACAATGACATGTATTTTGTAATTTAATGGGGAAATTTCATTTTGAAATGCATCTTTTGGGGATTTTTTTTTTGGGGAGGGCTAAGTTTTAGCCAGCGGCGACTAATTAAATTAACATTTATTACTTTGAAAGATAAACGTTTTGGTTTTTTGTGCGGGTAAATTACGTGAATGTGTAAACGTAACGATGCTCATAAGCATAATTTATAATGAGATTTGTGATGACATTGTATAGTTTGGCTGCAATGCATGTATATGCTTTTGTTTACCTCGCGAACAGCATGATGAGGAATTCCAAGCTTCCACTGCCACAATCTGTTGTGCTGAAAATAGTTTAGTATTGGTGTAAGCTGGATAGTTCTTGTCACTTGACAGTCGTTATAACCTTAAAATGATGGAGATTACACACACTCAAATCTCATTAAAACTAATGTTCACAAGAGGTTTCTTGCCACATGATGTAACCGCGACCTTCAAATCAACCTTAAAATATTTTCAGTATTAACAAAAGGAAGCACAACGGTGGACCAGCCATGGCCGACACCTCAGACCCTACCGAACCCCTGAACCCAAACCCCCAGCAACAGACTCCGCCCAACTACAGCGCCACGGGTCCCACGGTCCTACCCGCCACGGGTCCCACGGCCCTACCCACCACGGGTCCTGCCGCCCTACCCGCCACGGGTCCCGCCGCCCCACCCGACGGGGCCGGCCTCCCGTACCCACCGGCCGGCCCACCGTACCCGCCGGACGGCCCACCGCAGTACGGCGAGGTATTTCAGGATAAGCCAGCCGGAGGCGTACCGCCGGCCGGCCACCAGCCGTACATGATGCCTGGCCCTGCTCCCATGCCTGGCCCTGCTCCCATGCCCGGGCCTGCCGCTCCTGTTACCGCGGTCAGCTACCAGGCTGGACAGGCCACTATCATTGCAACTCCCATGAGTAAGTGCAATTGCATCCACAGGACTGTGGTAGTATAGGATATAAAAAAACATATAATGGCTCGTGGTTTCTTGCAATTTGTGATTCAGCTCAACTCATCTTTACTCATTTGTTGTAGACTTTTGTCGATAACTGTGCCTTCTGTCTTTCTTAATTCCATCTGAATCTGATGATTAGAAAATGATACGAAACCATGTACAAGTTTTTATCTTTCATCAATTTCTGCTATCATTTATACTCTACCCTTATCTGCCATTACGGCTGCTCACCATTTAAAAATCTTCGACAAAACTAACTGCTCCTCTCAAATTTTGCCGATTTTTTAAGTGGAAACATGAAAAAAGCGACCCTTCCAATCTGTTGTCTTAGTCCTTAGCGCGTTTCCCGTCATGGTAACCTGCCCCCAGTGCAACCAGCATGTGACAACCCAAGTGATGTACGTCGCTGGTACCCTGACCTGGGTCTTGTCCATTGTGTTGTTATTCGTTGGGTAGGTATTCGAAGAGTATCAAAATAGACATTATGAATTAATGAATGAACAACATGTTCACTCATGCATATCACAGCAAAACAAAAGCCATTGCCCTCTAAGATGGTCGCTATGCAAAAGCAAAAGGTCTATAAATTATTCAAATATGCTGGCCAGATTTGATTTTATTGATTTCGTTATACCATTTTCTATATGTTAACATCTACTACTTTTTTTCCCGAGACAGTCTGCACGGCTGCCATTTGAACTATCAATCCTCGTTCCCATTCGCATTTTCTTTACTCAATTCAAACAGGATACCACTGTGATAGCACTGTAATCGAGTTTGGTTTTGCTCTAACACTGCTTCCGACTTGATAAGGATATTAATTTGTGTGTGTGTGTTTGTGTTTTCCTTACGCCAGTTTCTGGCTGTGCTGTTGCCTGTTCCCCTTCTGCATGGATGGATGTAAGGACGCCGTCCATACCTGTCCCAACTGTCACTTCTCTATCGGAACGTACAGGCGGATGTAGTGGATTTTTCTTAATTTTGGGAATTAAAATATTAAAAAAAGCATCAACCCCTTGTAAGGCCCAGTACAAGCTTCGGCTTATTGACTGACATTGCTATACTATTACTATTAATAATGTTTAGTTGTATCTAGTAGGCCTATACTGTTTTAATAAATGTACGAAATAAACTTGAACCTCTAAACAAAATCCTGACAAGCTTAGGGTATTAAAGTGTCAAGCTAGCCTCTAGAACCCATTGTTTGCGCGTGCACTGTTGTGAATGCAGTTTTGTAGTTGTACGCTGTACATGTACTTTGCATAAACAGAATTAGAAATTAATTTATTGCCATGGAGTGATAGGCTATCCCACGTCGCAAACTAAGCCTAGCCTTCACGATATTGTTTGACCTTTAGGAAATGTATAGGCAGTGACGTACTGAAATTGTTATCTGTAATTTTCAATGTCTGATTATATTAGTTATCTTGCGAGCGCGAGTGGAACACGGAATAATGTAGTGCGTCTGTGTCCCACATACCACGAGGCCGGAGGCCGAGTGGTATGTGGGACACAAACGCACTACATTGCGGAGGATATATATATATTTTTTTAAAGGAAATTGGGGAAGACTAGCCGGCATGGCTAGGAGGATATTTTTTAAAAAGAAAAAGGAAAAAATTGGGGAAGAATAACCAGCATGGTTAGGGGGATATTTTTTTAAAAGAAAAATGGGGAAGACTAGTCGGTATGGCTAGGGGACGATATAAGAATTTATCTTCAAGCAAACTTGACGCACAGTAAAGTTGGAACACGCACGCTGTAACCCACGCACAACTTTTGAACACAACTTTTTTCACAGTGAATTGTGCAGCACTAATCGCGTCACGAAGGCTTAGAATAGCGCAATAGCTGAGTGGTATGGACCGTGGCCGTGCGGTATGGTTATATGTAGCACGGCTTGTTGCCATTGATCGACCAATCAGGATCGAGGATTCAAGTCTGCTTGAAGATAATGATCATAATTATCATCCGGCATATAATTCCGTATGTGTACGTATTCCCGACCAGCAGCATATTGCAATTCAACATATGGTGTTTTGCGTGGTGCTGCTACCGTATGTGGTTCTATTCAATTATTACGGAAATCACCATGGGCAAGTTCCAGAGCGGAATTTATTACCATAATCAAAAACAAAAGTAGCATACTGGCCAAGACCGGTGTTATTGTACCGATTTACTGTACCTGCAACTACCGCGCTATTGAAGAGAGATATATTATAATTAAAGTGCTTTATTTTATCTTTATTTTGCATTCTTTGAAGAAAAAAATTAGTTGTAGTCTTTTAAAATAGGATCGAATATCCATTTGCTGTATTTTTTGTTATCATTAGACATATTCTATTAGTTGTATTTGTTTATTTTTATTATATTTTTAAACTCTGGGCTTAGTGTTTTTAGTCAACTTGACAGTCAGGGTTACTCACAAATAAAAAATCAGATATTTATATGTCAATTATATATAGTTGATGGTTGACATGGGATGGTTTTGTTACTATTAGGTTATTAACGTTTCTTAAGCAGACGCATTTTGAGTGGGATCCACAAGTTACCTGAGGCAAATTTCTCGGCGCTGCTAAGCACATACATTTGCTAAGCACCAAAAAGGTCTAGCTTATAAAAGCAGGTTACCAGTCAAAAAGTCCATGATGTACATTGCTCGTGATAAGTATTCAGCTGTTGTTTGCTTAGCATGAAAATCACTTGGAGTTTGGGCTGGTAACCTGCTTTCATAATAGCCAGACTTTTTGTGCTAAGCAAATTTTTGTGCTTAGCAGCGTGGTGAAATTGGGCCCATGCAGCTGGTCAGAGGATCAAACATTCACGTGTGCATAGCCACAACTACGAACGTCGGATATATCCGTCTGATGTAATTTTATGCGAGCCTGCGCGCAAGCAAGGCGACTTTTGAAATTGTGACGTCATTTTGATCAGAAATTTGTACTAAGCTGTTGATTGGTCAATTTGGCCGCCATGTTTTATGTAATACATTTACAACAACGGGTTATCGAAGACCCGATAGAAGGCGCCCGCTGAATGGTCAGAATCTGGATGTCAGGACGCATCCTTGCTTTGCATATTATTAATTGCCTATTCTGGGCGAGTATCATAGACACTGTGTGCAAGGGGATATTCCAAAGACTACAATTCACCAGGAGCAATAAAGAAATCTCTTGCGCCGAGGCTGGAAAAAAAAACGAAAAAAAAAAAAAACTTGTTTGAGGGCGCTCTTGGTCATGACAAACCCTTCCACGTCGTGACAAATCCTGCCCCAATGCCCTCCAAAGGTTTGCGCAATAACAGTGAGTGTTTACTTTTCTCGATGTAGAACATCTACAAACTAACGCAGAGACAAAGGTTAACAGGCCTAATGCGTTTTTCTCCATCCTTTGCAAAACAATGTTTGAACAGTAATCGTTATACACGCCCTGTGTTGGTTCCCGTGTCCGAATCGAAGTGAACCATTCGCGTGTCATTGGGCCGCGTGACGTCACGCAGCCGGGTACCAGCTTGACCTTGTCAACTTGAACTGAACCTTGTATATTGTTTTTCCATTGACGTAGGCCGACGTGAGCTTCAACTAAATTCGTCAAAGTAACAGCTAAACAGTCAATTCCATTGCCAGCTTGTTCGACAAGCATCTCATATAATTTGCTCGGTCGATATATCTGTACGTGCTCCAGTACAGTAAGTATATCTTTTCTTACTTTCCGTCCATTGTTTAGGGGGCCTATTATAAAAACAACTGAGTTTTCATAACAGAACCTATCCTACGTTTACGATCAGTGATGTTGTAAACACTCAATTTTGTGGACTTCAGAGGGGAATTATAGGAGAAATATATGCATGTAAATACTTTCATCATATATTTTTTTAAAGTGCAGAATGATTTAAAAGGGAAAAAAGATAATACGAAGCATTGGCTCAACTATTGACAAGTACCAAAAGTTATCTTTAGCACAATAGCACAAAATAGGCCTAAACAGATCATAGAGACGCCGATCTTGTTCGTCTCAGGCCCTGACAGATTCTAGCCCTGACAATTAAAAGAAAAATGAAAAACATAACCTGTAATGTTGCTTCACTTTATTTATTAGCACTGTATTGTAATGATTTGTTTCCTTCCAGCTCGACACAGATATAATGTCTTCCGAAAAGCAATATGAAGACCAGCCTCCGCCCTACCCAGATGGTTCCCAGCCCGGGCCCATGCAGCCTCAGAGCCTCATGCCGCCCGGCCCGGTGCCCGCACCCCAAGCCGCACCCGCCCATCAAGTCAACGTCATGCCCGGCCCCGTCTGCGTTCAGTCAACAGGTGAACTGAGTCTTCAACATCTAATTTCACCGATCAATATCTACTTTGTAAATAGCATATTTGCAAATAATAATAAAATGGAATAAAGAAATTGACTGGAGTTGAACGTGCGACATCCAGAATATCGTATATAGTGATAGAAAGATAAACAATTAATAAATATTGTAAGCCATTATTTGAAAGAAAGGTTTTAATAAAATTACCACTGGTGTGGTGTTGGTTTTAGAATAATCCAATACCACGCTGTGATAATCTATAATTCTCATTTTCTTTTGGTTTTCCGATTTCTTCCCAATTTTTTTTTAGTGTGCTACGGTGAATATTCTATGGCTATTCAGTGCCCGCATTGTCACAATACCGTCAACACTAGGATCACACACCAGACGGGCCTGCTGACCTGGCTTGTCGCTGGTGGTATCTTCCTTGTCGGGTAAGTAGATGAAAGAACTGCAGCAGCAGCAGCAGCAGCAATAACAAAAGCAGCAGCAGTTGCAACGGCAATAGAAGCAGTATGCAGCAACGGCAGTATGCAGCAGTAACAGTAGCAATATGCTGCAGCAGTAGCAACAGCAGAATAAGCAGCAACAGCAGCAGCAGTAACATAATGCAGCAGCAGGAGCAGCAGGAGTAGCAGCACTGCAGCACAAGTAGAGTAGCACAGTGCAGCAGTAACAGTAAAGCAGCAGCAGCAGCAGCAGCAACAGCAACAACAGCAACAACAGCAACAACAGCAGCAACAGCAGCAACAGCAGCAACAGCAGCAACAGCAGCAACAGCAGCAACAGCAGCAACAACAACAGCAACAACAGCAACAACAGCAACAACAGCAACAACAGCAACAACAGCAACAATGGCAGCTCTATTATGATAAATATTTATTGCGGCAGAACCACCAACATGAAACGCAGCATAACATGACAGCAGCATCCATTTTTATTAATAGCAACAACAAGCAACAACTCAAACAACCAAAGCAACTAACACTACAGCACCAGCCACATTAGATCAGCAAATTCCACCAACAGAGAATTGACAATAAATTTTGCCAGATTATCATTCTCATTACCGCCAATATCAAATGTATCTAAATTGGTTTTTCAGAGAAAAATTACGTTGTTTATTACAAATTCCTGTTCCGGGTACCTCTGACGAGGGCAGAATTGTTTGAATTAGCCGAGTGCACCGACACGGTAGCATTTAGCTGTATACTTGACAGGGAGTTGAGATGGTCGTGGAAGTGTTTAATTTCCCTGACACACTTAGAATGTTATTTTACGTTTCTTAGATATCATTATTGAAGTTTGTAATTTTTGGTTTTCCATCCTGTAGGGGCTTCCTCGGCTGTTGCCTGATCCCATTCTGCGTGGATTTCTGCTTGGACGTGGTCCACAGCTGCCCCAACTGCAACCAACAACTGGGCGTGTACCAACGTCTGCATTAAACGCGCGCGTCACGCGCTCGGCAACCAATCATAACCACGGAAGGACGGCGTCAAGAACTTTTGTCGCATCAGGACTGACCAATCAGCACGACTTATTAACATAACCCAAACGATGCGAGTAAACTAATTTCGATGCAAGCAAATAACTTTAAGCGCAAGAACACGGAACAGATTTTCCAAAAAGTCCCTTTTAAACATCACATATTATACCTTAAGAAATGCACTTTATACTTAAAATTTAATTTTAAAAGGATTATGTAGAGAGAGCAATGTGAAAATGTGGCATGGTATTGTGGCAATTAAAACTTTTGTACCATTTTGACTTCATTTTTGTAGATCCACTTGAACCGTTGTATATAGCAATATTAATTTCTTGGTTTTCGTGTAATAATTACCGAAACCGAATGCCAAAACCAGAAACTGAAATAGACTTACGCTTTCATTATTTTGCACACAATTTTATTTCTTGGCTTTTCGAATGCAATCAATGAAAAACAATAATCAATTGTATTATTCAGTGAGTGAAAAGCATTGTGAAGTGAGGACATATTTATGATTTAAAAATGTATACACTCCATGTTTATTGTCAAACAAAATCCTCCCGTATACGTTTTGACCCCAATACATTTTTCATTGTTTCTTGTAATTTTGTCAATAAACTGGTGGTATTTTTTAACAAGTCAATTGGCGGACTTATTCTGATCGGCCTGTGTGTATTTTTTTCCCCGTAGAATTGGTTTCGTTGGGACACCTTGGCTTGTAGTTTTGCAAGTTCGGTTATTTGTTTTGAACTAGTCATTGCATCAATTTGTTTCAATTTAAAACTCGACAGTTTCACAATCCAGGTCATATTCGTTCTATAGTGTTATATTTCCTACCTACATTTTCAATTACTTTCTTGTGCCCAAATTGTGCGTGTTAATCTCCATGGACCTTGCGCTTGCCTCGCCCCGAACTTTATACCCTTGAACCAAATTAGTGTTTGGTTGGCAAATTTACAACTTTTTTCTCGACTGGTTCGCCACCCTTTGTAACTGTATCGTCCACCGTTGGCTCGTATAACGGGTACCAGCTGAACCCTTGACCTATGAAACCTCTTCACATCGGGCACATGACAATTGACGCACATCGGGCTAAATTTGTTCAATTTCCTTGTAAACATCTATTAAGTCGACTCCAGTTATTTTTTTCGTCTGACATTATATATTCCAAAAGAGTTTATATTTTACTTCGGCTTACTGTGTTGCGCGGCAGGGCTTCGGTTTGCTCTTCTTCCACAGACAGGCAAGTACATCTTAACATCGATACTCACGGCATTATATTTATTGAGACCTTTGAGTGAGTATATACAAGACATATTCTTACGACAAAGCAAATTATGAATTTTGGCCCTAAAATACCTCATCCAAATTTATTACGTATAAATTCGATTTTTATTATGCTACTTCTTCATAATTATTTTTTATTGATTTAAACAAGGTATAACCTTGTCCATTGTTCTGAGTACCTGAAGTTGATGGTTTTATAAATCATGACCTATAGTAATTTTCAATAAATTATGTGTATTTTAAGAGCAGAAAGTAAAATCTCAGTAATTCGGGCTGTTTGACGACACTAAGCTAAAAGGAGAAATGGAACCTCCGCCTGAAAAATACCCTCCCCCTGGGGAGACCACGCCCATGATCGGCGCCCAACCTCCGGCCGTGGCTGTCAACTACGTCCAGCCTGCACCAGCAACGACCATCATCTCGTCACCATGTGGTAAGACTGGCACCCATGGAGCCAGAGCCAATGCGCACTGACATCTGTGCTAACGCCTAACTTTGAAAAAAAAAAAACCAATGTGTATACGCATGCGTCGATCGTGGGGAACAAAGATGTCGAAAGGCCGCCTCAGATCCTGTGCGTTGCAATCTGGTCCAGTCAGTTTAGAGGATTGTGGCCAAAAGCCGCTTATTGTCTCCTTATAAATCTTGTGTCCCCTTTAATGAAATGACTTATTTTTTGGTATTTTGTTGTGTCTCAGGGAGTCGATATTTTTCCAAGTACAAGATGTATTTACAATATGTTTTGAGAATCGATTCTCATTTCCAGCACATAAAGCATGCACATCCTGTGGCTCAGAGAATCGATTTTTTTTTTTCCGATCAGGAATGACCGAGTGTCCCACTCAGGTTACCTGCCCAGCTTGTCATCACATCATCGTGACCAGGACGACCTACACACCCGGCGCCCTCACCTGGGTTCTCTGCCTTGTCATCTGCCTCTTCGGGTATGTGAAAGCTCTTATTTCTTACCATGTGGATTTTTGGAAGGCAAATCTTTCTTAGAAGATATAGAACGAGGGGCAAAGTGTCACAGCATCGGGGTCTGGATCGTGGAAGTCAATGTGGCAGTGTTGTTTTAATCGCGGCACTAATAAATCACAAGTGCTTCTAGTAGTGTGGTCACGAGTAAATGACAAGTCTGTTCACAAATCAGTCGCTGGATGAATAGCTGTAAAATGACTTGTGACTTGACTTAAGACCGGATGGCTTGTGACTGACTTGTGATGTTTTGTGAACTATTACGGATACCTTGACTTCAAGACTGACATATTGGGTGATTCTTTTTTCTTTGAGTCATGCATTTTATGGGTTAGGGTCCGGCTTCTTGGTATTTGTTGACTGTTCAAAGGCAAGACACTTTATCACTAAGTTGTTTCTCCCCACTCAGAAGTGGGCAGAGATGGTTGTTGTGTTTGAATGAGCCGCTTATGGCGAAACAGTAGCATTGAGCTGGATACCTGCTAGGTTGTTGAGGCTTTCATTTTCCTCGATTCTCTAAGAGTGTTATTCTGCGTCCAGTGGCGATATTAATTTGCATTTTTTTTCCTGTAGTGGATTCCTCGGCTGTTGTCTGATCCCATTCTGCCTGGATTTCTGCCAGGATGTCGTCCATTCCTGCCCGACCTGCAACTCTGTCGTTGGGAAATACAAGCGGTTGTAATCACGTACCAGTCGATCCCACCGCTGACACCAAAATTGTTTAAGGGGACTAGACACGACCTGCTTCCCTCTATAAAAACATTGCCATCATAATTGAATGTATGGGGTAGCATGCTCAACAAGGGCGCTTTAAATACTACAACGGGGCTCAAATAAAAATACTTCGGCAAGGATAACAATTAGTTAGCTAAATTGAAATCATTAAGGTTGAAGTGAGCTATGTGAAATTTAGGTGTAATGGATGCTTCGCCCCTTAAAATCCAAATTTGAGTTCACTCTTGTAGTATGAACAAGCTATTATTCAAATCAGACTGATTTATCAGTAAAAGAAAGAACAACAAATCAGTGAAAATGGCAAAAGTGTTTAATTTTCTTTATTCGAGATTTGGGAGCCTCAAATAATCGCATGTGTTTCTATAAAACCTTATCAATAAAGTATGTATATGCAATTGTGATATGCTGACAAAGAAACAGAGTACGTTCTACACAAAAGAATTTTAATTCTGTAATCTAAAAATGCCCCACGAAAAATGTGTTCTGCTCCTACAAACGAGAATCGTAAAAGATTTTATTTCTTTAAAATCGTTTTGTAAAATAGAACAGCTGTTTTTTTTCCACGTAATGCTATAGGGCGCTGAAATTGCTTTACTGTAACGGAAAGAATTTATTCTTTCAGCATTTGAAACAAAACTTTGAACCACGGCAGCATTACTTCGCATCAACTTTCTTTACAGAATAAGGATTTCATAAGTTGTTCGGCTACAAAGAAAAAGTCCATTGTTTAGTAATACGAATCCATAAATTCATGACGCAAATTATTTTCCCACTTTATTATTAACAAGACAATGAGACATATAAAACGTTTTATGTATTTACAGTTCACAATTTAAATACTATTTCATTCGGCTCAAAGCCAAGCATGACAAAACGTTGAATAAACTTTAAACAAAACGGAATGTTTCAAGATTATTTACATTCTTAAACCTCTTGTATTTTTTGAGCAAAGCAATTCTATTTCGAGCAATGTTCATCAACATGACGTGTAAATTCATAGGCTTTTATTCACATTATGGTCCGTTTCCTGTATTGTTGCTATGTTTAGTTCTTGTTTTTACTATATTTGAAATGAATTAAACAAAAACAACATAAGCATTTCAATAAACACAAATTTTTTTTTTTGCATTGCTTTTATGTTGTACGAAGATTCAGCCCATTAAGAATTTTCTTCGATCCACATTTTGTAATCGGTTTTAATATAAATACATTGTATACCCTTTTTCATTAATACAATTTGAAAGGATAACATTTTGCTGGTATTGAGTTCTTGTTGACTGTCTGACCAATTCTGTCCTTTAATTTATGCTCAATGAAGTGTTAAAAATCGAAAAACTTGGGCAGTGTCTGCCAAGTTAACTTTTTCGCATCATCTTCACGTCAGATTTGAATGGTTACTGCAATTAAGTGAAACTCATAGTTGGTGTTCTTATCGACCTCGATCGGAACCGCTGCTCCGTTGAGCGCTTCATAGTGTGTCGTCTCTTCTCGTCACCAGCATCCCTGAAGAGAGAAACAAACAAAAAGTTCACAATTTTTGCTGGAATTTCTATGGAATTTCTATGAAATTTTTGATGGAATTCGGGCTGAAAAGTTGGGCAGAATCTCTCAAATGAATAGTTGGGCTGTCTGGTTAACTGACCTCCAAATCTCGAGAATGGTCTGGTTCTGTTTGCGGATCTCTTCCGTGATTGGATAAAGGTAGAGGAAGAAGAGACCAATCAGAATGCAGCCGCCCGGTATGCACGTGATCAACAGCCGTAGGGCAAATCTGACCTCTTCCGTGACGTCACACACCCCGGGCTTAAACTCGACGACTCTTTAAGAAAACACCAAATTATCCCGATTCACTTTAATAGAAATGTACAGTTATCCCGTAACAAAAAGTGGCTGCAGAATTTTGTTTCACTGTGTTGTCAATAAATAAGCATTTGTTCATTAATTTCGAAAAGATTATGTAAAGATATATAAGTTTCAGCTTTTATAGCACTCACGTAGGTGACACAAACCAGCAGCGTTTTGGCTATAAAAAAAATGCACTAAAATTGAAACACATCAGCTGAGTTCAATACTAACCCGAGAACGATCGTCGTAATGGCGATGCATAATCCTGACACGAGCTTGACGATCATGATGTAGAATGTATAGAAGATGGTCTCGTACCCTCTCTTCTTCTTCAGTAAGAAATCGTCGATAACATCAGGTACCATACTCCTAACAAGGAACAGATATCATTGAATAAACACATTTTTTTTGGGGGGGGGGGGTGCAAAAAAATTGTTCCCCCAAAAAGTGGGTCAAAAAAATTACGGCATGGGGTTCGGGAAATTGGATTCTAGATGCTCTGTGGTGCGATCTGAGGCAAATTCTGCCACTTTAACCAATGTTTTTGAGGAAAAGATGGTGGTGTACGCAGTGCCTGCCTTTATTGCGACGTCACTTAAAAAAATAAATAAAAGATTGGGTTCGGGGTTTTTTTCGGGGAGGAGGCATGACCCCGTCCCCCCCCCCCGAATCCGCCCTTGCCTAATTTGTATATTTTATAAAGATATTTTGCCGTTTATATGCATAATCTGAGTCTTTCGCTTATTTGCTTGTCATTTTACTTTTTAGAACGATCCTGTGTTAGGATCGAACAGTACGGCCCTCTATTTTTTGTGCGATTTGAGTGATTTCTACCCATTTGTTTTTTAACTTACCAGGGTACTAGCTGTACAATAGCAATGACATTTCCCATAAGAATGGCCATGATGTACTGGACCCACGTCATACCATACGGGACCATCCCCCAGCACACGAGCAGCGGAACCGAAGGCTGAAATATTAAAGGAAAAAAGGAAAAATTACCATCCTTTCAAAAGTAACCAAATAATGAGGTGTAGAGGTAGAAAAGAACCGTTAAGCTTACTGTAGATTTCCATTGAACATAGTTCACAACTAATATTTGGCATGCATATTATAAAATATATTTCATATTTTTTGTGTGTGATTTATATGATTAGTCGCGCACGAAACATTGAATTGTGTCATGGTCTCAAAATTGGTTAACGCCAATTCCTGACTTCCCTCAAATGTAAAGGGATAAGAGCGACTACTTCGATCCAAAGGCTAAGCCATTTGATTGATTAGCTTACCAGTAAGCCTATAAACAACGTCAGCTTCTTGCCGAATTTCTTCAAACACTTGCGCCAAACCGGCATCAACAGAAAAGCCGAGAGCTGCGGAGAGATATGAATGATGAGATAATAAACTGGAACAGTGGAACTACACTCAAGGCACGCGATACTGGTTTGTATCATTCAGCGATGAGCAGGGTTCGAATTAGCGGTAGCCCGCTAGCCAAATGCTAGTCGAAACAGCGGCGGGCTAGTCAAACTATTCCTTAAGTAGCCCGGCTGGCGAGTCAAAAACTTATTGGGATACAGCAAAGATGAAAGGACAGGAAGAAATAAATCATTAAATTCAGAAAGCAAACTTGTATCAATTTGTTTCTAGTGTTTTAAAGGGTAAGATGTGTTTTGAAAACACTGACAAAATTGCCTCAGAATTGAGCCTGAAAGTACGCCAGTTTGTATTTGAGCTAAAAAAAAACCCAAAACAAACACAAAACACATGCCCGTGGGCTAGTTAAGAGTCTGTTTCAGTAGCCCGGCTGGCTGGTGAAAAAAGTAAAGGTCGAACCCTGGCGAGGAGTGGTTTTTAATTATGACAAATATGACTACCTATCCTGGTATTCTTTACTTTGGTCCTTCATCTTGTGTCCAGGTTGCGCACATCTCCATATCGCAAATTAGCTATTGAAAGGTCCATCCAACAGCGCCCTCTTTGGCCGTGTACGGTTTTTGTATTATTAGGCTATTTGACAAAAAAGGAAAACACTTACTAAGATGAGGAAGATTGCTGGCTGGTAGGTCCTCATTCCCAGGGTGTGGAGCGAGTACAGAACGAAATTTCCCTGCATTGCCTGCTCGATCCCAAACAATAAACAGAAAACGTAGTTGTTATTTCGTAAATGCAAAAGTCACATGTGAGAATGATCATGAAGTTGTACAGCGAGAAAATTACTTGTCTGGATGAGCAAAATATTTACGTACATTGACGGCCAAGACAAACGGGATGAGGAACGCGATGTGTTTGAGCCAGGGGCCAAAGGTCACGACCTTCTTCAGAGCTTGGCCGAATGACTCCTCGTACTTGGTCTGTCTCTTCTGAGCTAAGAAATGAAAATCAAAAAGTAGTTCATGTTTAAGTAAATCATGGCAAGGACTTATTGAGAGCGACCGAGTGGTGGCGCTATAGCCGATAGCATTCATTCAGATTCAGTTTTACTCAACGCCCAAATTCAACCCATTTTCGCATTGAAAATTTCGCCTGTTATACTTACACATGACTTCTTTGGTCCCAAAAATGACACACATGGCGCAAATGAGGAACTGGCAGCAAAGGATGGCTGCACCTACCAGATACCCTTGATCCTGAAAGATAATTTAAAAAAATGCGAACAGTGAACCCATTAGAGGAATATAAGGACACATCGAAGTGTGCAAACGATTGCTGGTCCTACCAGATGTCCTTGATCCTATAAGATGCTATCAGTGAACTTATTAAGGAATATCAATTTTGTGTAAGAACACATCCAAGTATGCAAAGGATTGCTGCTCCTATCAGAAAGCCTTGATCCCAAAAAAAAAAAAAATGCTGAAAGTGAACTCATCATACTCAATTTGGTGCAGAAACACATCCGCAAAATAATGCAAAGTTATCAACTTTATTTCTCAAACCTCCTTGTTTTTTTCTTTTAGAGGTGTCAAATCACAAAAGAAGACATAATTAGCCTTCCCAACCATCCATTTTGAAGGCAAATTACCGAATATTCTCAACTTAAGTTAATTAGTTCTCAATCTGGCTGATTTTAAGTGGGGGATGTTATCGGTCTTAATATATTTTCAATTAAAACATCTTAAAGTATTGTGGTGACAGAAAGAATAGACTTCATAGCGGAGCAGATAGGGGAAATATTCGGGGGAATTGTGCATTTGATGATGCAAGCTTGGCATTTGGCACACAGTTGACTTAAGTTATTTGGCTATAAGGCCACCGCAGATTTGTCCTTTGAAAAATTAAAGGTAGAATAACAAGCGATTTTCAAAACAAAAATCAAAATGGCTGTCATGGGTTGTTATTCTACATATATTTGTTTCAAAGGACACATTTGCGATGGCCCTATAGCTAAATATCTTTCTCATGACATACTCTGATTGTATGCCAATACCATGCTTGTATCATCAAAGGCATGCAATCCCATCGGCCATTCTATAGTGATGATAGTCAGTAAGACCGGGTTACGGGAAAAAGTTTGAACTTTAAGAAGTAAAGGCAATGTTAAGGTACAATGGACAGCGCAGCAACGGCGTAAGAAAGAAGCATGGAGTAAAGCTAAGGGTCTCTTTTGAAAATTTTAAAATTATTTATTATGAAATTAATATGATTTAAAAAATTGATTATTATCTCACTTTAACTTCTGTTTCCTCGGGCGCTAGTGTGGATGTGTCGTTGAAGTCTCGGCACTGAGGAATCGTACTCAGTCGCAGCTGGTACAGCGCCAGCGACAGACCCATGGTGAGCTGCCCCAGAAGGTTCCCCAGTACCTCCGAGCCCATTCCTGGCGGGAGAAAAAAGTGTAAGTTAGGATTTTATGGTATTGCAGAGATTTGCTAAGCACTGAAAATAGTTGATTAGCAAAAACAGGATACCAGCCAAAATGTATTGCTATTTATATCACATGTGACTGGTTCCCAGCGCAGTTGACATTAAGCCAGGATCCCATGGTTAGCAAATCTAAAACAAACAATTGATTATAGCGGGGAAAGATGAATGGAATGTCACGCGCCTGTATTTTGCAGTCAAATAAAGAGAATGGAATGATGTGCCACGAGAGTAACAAACTCCGGAATGTCGACGCGCGCGTTCTGGAATTTTGGCAGTTGTCCAAGTTGTTCTCAAAAGTACTACCCAGACGCCATGTTGTACAGTGTACAGTGCAGTTGGAGCACATAAGTGGTTGGAACAAGATGTACCTTATGACGGTTCTTGTGCGTGGTTTTGAGTATGTCGAATTTATGAAAGGTTTACATGTCGTCCACCAAAGAGGAGTTTACTAATTAGAGTAGTCATGTGTGAAGTTTTTCCTGGGAGATTCGAAACAACCAGTTCAAATTTGCTGAAACGAGCGACGCAAAATTGGAAGTTTCCGCGCTGTGTGGAGTGTTGAATTTACGAGCTGAAGACGGGACGTCGAAACTGCACACGGCCATTACGGAACTCGGCATCACGATAAGTTTAAATGCTCGTTGTGATCAAGAACTGATAATGATAGACTATTGATTATTATTCATTGATAAGTGATACTTACTGAATGATGTGGCTTTGTCTCGCTCGGCCTGGTTATCCGTCAAGCACAGCGTGAGTGTGGCAAAGGGCATCTGGTAAAACTACAACATGGAGAAACAAAATGGTGAGTAGGATACAAAGTTTACATTTCTCACCATAAATGGTCAAGAACAGAAACAAAATCTGGTAAAATAATATGTCCTTGATCACAACAACCCAAACACACGTTACGACTTACACATTTTTGCAAAACTAATTCAGGCCAACTTTACTCACACTTTAGCAAAATTCTCCAAAATGTTCATTAGGCAAAGACAAGGTTCTTAGTATTTCCCCAGCCAAGTTTGAGGTCTCAATTCAATTTTTAAAGGAGACTTTTCTTTAATATTTTGCAGCTGAGAATAAGTGAGAGTGAAGCCAAGTGATTTCAATTTGAAGCCTGAGACTAGACTGGTGCATGTCCAATTAACTGTTCAAAAAAAAAAGGAACCTGCTGGTAGCTGACTATGAAGAGATGTGAAGAAACAGACTGGTACCAGATGTTTATTTTGACACAGTTGACTGATGCAGTACTAAAGGGATGTTGGACTGGTTGTTTCATGTGCCAGTCTATTTTCTTATGTTGCATGTTATCAGTACTTCCGTTTTCATAGGCATACACAGTATTGAGAGTCCCAAATTTTCGGACTAATTATAGACTATAGATAACATTTCATTAAGTCTTGAAATTAGGTTTTTTTACATATTTTTTTTAACAAGGGTACGTCCATTGAGTGTAATCAAGATCACAATTGAATTATTGTAATGTGTTATTTACTTCTTACAGAAACCCGGAAATAATAGATGGCTCATCGAAGCCAAAATGCAGAGCCAAAATGCCACTGACTGGTTACCTACCGTGAGGAACGTTTGGAAGAGGCAGTAGAAGACAAGATACCAGGCAAGTTTCAGGTAAGATTTGGTAGTCTCTGGGCAGATGAAGAAACACATAAAGCAGGCGATAGCAGGGAGAGTTGCCATAAACATCCTGATTAACAATTACAAAAAAAAACTGGTTTTGAGTCTATTGAGTTTCCTTTGCATAACAGTCTAAAAGGTCACATAAGGTTGTAAGATGGTGTACATTAAGCACGTGCGAATAAATCACATTTATCCATTGTGAGATAATTAGCCGAACTTTCTTGCGAGTATCACGTACGGCTTCATTTGTAACATCGCTTTCTTAACCAGTTCGCGTCTACTCCACAAAACCGTTTGTTGAGTTTGCTGTACATCTTTCTTGCGGCACCATGCTTTCTGGAAAAGCAAAGACGAAAATTGATGCAACCGGAAACGGATATTTGTTCGCTGAACTGACTCTGCCTATTATTTGGTCGTTATTCGCGAATGTATCAACATTTGGAAGAGAACTTCCTATAGCCTTATTTCCGTGATTTAATGAATCCGTACTTACCATGGTTTGAGTTTACCGAATCGTTTGTTTTTGGTTCTGAACACGAGGAAGCCAATCAGCGGATCTGTCATTGCGTCCCATATCCTCCCAGTCAGAACGATTGCACTTGTGTAGAAGGGTGGAACCTGATTAACCAGATTAAAAAAAATAGAAAAGTTGTCAAAACATTATAAGTGTGACTGTACTTTCTGTGTATATGTCTTGCTGTCGACATCAATAAATTAAGACAAGTTAGGACAGTGGCTCACCACACCCCTCTGACTTACCAGAAAATTTCCTTGCAGAGAAAAACTATTTTTAACAAGTAGTTTTCGAACCCCAACTCTCCCAACACTTGGGTCCACGCCACCGTAGCCATTAAATAGCGCCCTCATTTGTCAAAAATCGTTTTATAGCCTCTGTAACTGACCTGTCTGAGATGTAGTTTTAAATGTAACCGAACTTAGCGTGGGAATTTTGATTCGTGAAATGAGGTTGACAAGTTCTACTCTTCTTTTCAAACTAGTTTGCTATCTTTTCTTTTCTCAAAAGTTGTTCCTTTCCATCAAGTTTTTCTTTTATTGGGAATGTTCCAGCTCGGCTGTTCAATAAAGACGCCGTGGCTATTCAGTTGTCTTGAGACGTTTTTGCGTTCATCAATGTAACTTGTTACTTTCACCCAATCCGGAAGTAAAGTGGGTCAAAGGTCATATTGAGGTCATCAGGTCGTTACAGTGGGTCTGACCTTAGCGGTTTCCAGCAGAAACACGTTGATGTAGAAGCCCAGCACGGTGTTGGTGAGCTGGTAGGGGATGCCTCCCAGACCGTAGCAGATCTTGGATCTCAGGGAGAGTTTGAGGCCTGGGCTCGGTCGGTTCCTGATGCGAGGTCTCAGTGGTGTCCTCTGAAGACAAAATAATTTCAAAGAAATTTCAACTAGAAGTTTCCCTCATTCTTTCATTTTCAATCTGTCTATTATAGCCGTATAGAGAACTTGCACGGAGCGCCCTCACTGTGGACTGCTTTGGTTTTTGAATTGGTGTGGTTTCTTAATTGCAGTGAGAATGGAATTACAAATATTCATGTGCCTCACAAGTCGCAAAGACCTGTGAGTCAAGGGCTCTGTGTGGGCGGTCTCTGTCCAGTTTCTCTCTTGAAAAATCTGAATGTATTTCATTCTTTTCCGTAAATTCATTCACCATTATTACTGTATTTCTTTCCTTTATAATTCAAATCCTCTGTAATCAGGTCAGTCATGCCTGACAATGTTTGTTTCTGGGCAACTGAGGCTTACATCCTCGCATCATGAATGTATACACATTGATTAACAGATAAAACACGATCGCACCAGACTAGACCTAACATTTCAACCATGCCTGACAGTGTGACTATTTGCAAACAATAGTAATCCGATTTTCTAGTGGGAATCGTACAATTTCATCCCCTTTGGGGACTGTATATAAACTACTTGATGAGAGGTAAAACAATAAAGTTATATCCTCATAACTTCTTTCAGGTAGACCTCTTTAATTTCAAGCCTAGGACATCCATACATATACCCTGTTTATTGTAGCTATATAAAATCCAATCACCGCCAAAACTCCGTAGTAACCATAGTAAAATGATGTAAGTGCACTGTCTTTCCGGCAATACACAGGAATTCGACGTTTCCTTTGATTTTATGATGGCGATTTATGTGAAATGGAGAGATTACCTTCCTGGTAAGCTTTGAAAATCATATATTTAACCTAACAATGTGTTTTATAATACTTTATACGAGTTGATCGGACTGTTTCTTCGTTTTTAACAAAGCCTTAAAAATAAACGGCCTTTTTCATGAGTAGGTAAATTGATTTTTTTAAATTAATTTATCTCCATTCAATAGCAATTTAAATTATGAAACACCGATCATAAGGAACTTGTAGGGGAATGCCATTATAGGTGATGTATACGAGCAAACATTGTAGCTGAACAAAACACAGACTATATTATTTCGAGCAAGAAATTCAAAGACAGGCAAACCTCAAACAAGTACGAATACATAAAAAAAAACCCAATGTGTGAATTATTGAGGAACAAAATGCCACAGACAAACTATTGCAACATATTTTTACAATCAAAAACTTATTTTCGGGAACTTACCTCATCTGCGTAATACGTTTCTGTCATGTCAGTCCCCCTTCCCGCCATGATGTTTTTTTCCAAGTTCTATTTCTGTTGTATATTTCAGTTCCAGTTCTTCTTGTAGTCTGATGGGGTTTTACATGTCCTAGATCACGATAACAAAGTTATATTTTTACCGCCAAAGACGGACTTTGACCCTATCGCCTGTCGGGGCTCGACACGGGACAAAGTGTTCTCTGGCAAAAGGGTACGCGACTTTGCCTCGGTAATTATAGTCGCAGATAAGTTTGGGCATTCAGAGGGGGCTAAAAATACCCCCAGTAGATAATTTTGGGCTGAAGAGGCGTCGGTAATTAGGTTGAGGAATGGCGTACGGTTATCTTTGGCCCGTGCTGCATTTTGGCCCGCTCACACAACAATCAACTTAATATAGACTATTTGCATTTTTTGCCAGGCTGTAAATTTCAGGGGTTGATTTTTTATACTGCATGAGATAAGGCCTTCATGTCAAAAATAACGTTTTCTTTTTAAATGATAGATTCTTGAGTTTAGATTCAGAAAAGGCAAATGGGCTAAAACGAAAGGTATGTACATGTATCAGATTGCATGTGAATTGTCTCTAGAGGGCGCGATTCAGGTACCTAAGATCAATGTTTCTCTTTGGTTTCCCAATATCCATTAACAGTCAATAATAAGAGTCTAGAGTCAGATCATCTTATAGTTAGGATGTCTCCTGCACGATGACGATGGAACCGAGGCCTACGGAGTCCCTGTCCCATGCCGAATGTGTATTCATCGGACTGAGCATGCGCGGGCCCTTGTGTTTTGTCTGAGCGGTTGCAGAGCGATTTTGCGTGATGTATAGCCGCATTCGGTCCGTGACAACAAATCAATCATGTGGTTAATTTCAGCACACCTGCAGTGGTCCAGAGATTGAGCTTCGTCAACTTGAATCAAAGGTTACACATTTCTGGGATATAGTATTACGCTATGCCCTTCACCGTCTGATTGTCAACATTCAGCCGTAATAAAATAACGTAGGCCTCCGAAGTTCAAATTTCATATTTCATTTCATAGTCTGTATTTCACCTGAAAAATCGTTAACATTTAGTTCCTTTTATAACAGCACACACGTTTAATAATACATTTTCTCCTAGTACTGAACCGGACATTGTTCGTTTAATATTACCTTACAAGAAAAGAAATTCACATTTATACGTGAAATTACATAGCATGAATTGCCACAGTATGATAATATTTACAGTGTAAAGTCTATTTTACAAATACTTAAATTTTCATAAGTTTAGATTTCGATTATAATTTTACAAAGTATTAAATACTACGTTCAATAGCTGCAGCTATAGGTGAATAGCTATTTATATTATAACAACAAAGAATGCACAATATGAAGACGTTTCTAATCCATAGGGTGCATTATGAAGCTATATGGTAAATCTTTTTTCTCTGTGTGCACGGAGCCCATTTTGAGTAGCTATTTATTTATTTTTATTCCTCAGGTTTTTCTATTTAAATTTGCCACAAAATACCCTTTTTAAACATATTTTTTTGTCATCAAATGTGACCACCTTCCTCATTCCAAACAAATTGTTATAAACAATGTTGTGATATATCACCGAACGTAAACTTAAATTGGTAATAAGTTTACAACACCATGATTAATAATATTGAAATCAGTTGCGTTGATTTTAACTCACGGCCATAAATCCGGGGGGGGGGGGGGGGAGCGGAGAGGATATATCCCCACCGGGGATGGGGGGGGGGCATTGGATCATCCCTCCAGATTTTTGTGGTGAAAAAAAAAAAAAAAACACCATTTTGAGAATTTCTTTTTATTTTCCGACGGTCCAAATGTTTTAAATAATTTTGTTAAATGGAAAACAAACAGTACAAAAGCCTTCAATGTACTGTTCATATGTAAGGTTAAAATATTTAAATGCGCCAGTACATGTAAGCGTGCATTACATGTACATCCAGGCGGCTCCCCCCTCGAATTTCGGCCGGGCAATTTTAGTATTTTGCGGTATGGTCATCTCCCCCCCCCCCAACCAGCACTCACCGACACAGATTTGCGCCACAGTTCACGGCAGTGCTCCAAAAGGTTTTACTATTAATTTATATCTCATAATTTCATTCTAACTACGACTTGGAAATTGTCACACGTTCACATTTAGTGAAGTTTTGATATATTTATTAATAAATCTGTAACTACACTCCAGTACAGTCAATCGCCTGAAAATGTCTCAGAGATAGACGTACCAAAAAGTCAATCAACATGTTTGATTTTAGTCAAAAACAAAATCACCTATTTTTGTTCATGAAAAAGGGTGCTGAACTCTGAACAAGCCTCTAAATATTAACTGAACAAAAAAAAGAATTGTGTTTGCTGGTGAAAATAAGTGTTTAATTTGTTTGTCTTCCGCGAAAGAACTAAAAAAAAACACAGTGCAAAATATGAAACGGCCATTTCATTGCACATACACGCTAGCTACCGGAGGAAATAAACATGTTCATTTTCCACAAAGTTTATCATTTTTATGTCAGCAAACGAAGACGTCATCGATTTTTTGTTTATGCTTACAGTATCGATATGTTACAGTATCGATATCTGTTTGCTTTCACACCATGGAATAATCATTACGGTTTATACGGACACTGATGTTGTAATTTTGAGCCCGATATGGAACCACAAGTTTCATTGACGTTTCGACCAGTGCAACATATAGGCCTCGTCATGAGACTGATAACGTGCACATCATTATTGCAGCATTAATTTATATTTTGAACGCAAGTTATAAGTTGTTGAAGCTATCGATACTTCAAGTACATGTGTACACCGTTTCTGTCTCCGTGTTTCCCTCCGTCACACTGCGCAGGCGAGCCTGCGTGCGCATCCAGCTCTTCCGGCGGGATGATGACCTCAGGGTCAGAGTCTCCTTCATGCGCTTTCGGAAGTTATCCGAGAGGAACGCGTACAAGAATGGGTTGAGGGCGCTGTTGAAGAAGTAGCACAGATAGGTGAGGGGGGCTAAGATTTGCGCAGCCGTGGTCAAACCATCGCCGCCGAAGGTCATGTAGAGGCTGAGGACTTGGTAGGGCAGCAAACACAGAGCAAAGGAGGACACGATCACGACTAGAAGCTTAATGACCTTCTTACGAGCCGTGATGGCCTCCTTTTTTTGTTCTTTTTGGTCTTGGACTTATCCGGTTTGGAAATGGTCAGAGGACGCGGTTGCGATAACCGGTTCTGGTTATGAGGCCGACTTGGTTTACCAGACTGCGAAATGTTATTGTTGGAGGGACCGTGACCATTTTTCCTCGGGTGGCTGTTGTCCATGCCGCCGAGCGTGGTCTCTTGGAACGCTTGCGGGTCTCTCACGGCCGGATTGCCACCGTTGCCCGCTAGGTCGACCTGGATGCGAATCGGCCGGTCCTGAGCACGGGGCTTGTAGATGCTGGGCGGGTCAGTGGGGTCGGAGGGCCCGCTGTCCTCGTCGGGCTCGTCCAGGAAGAACGGCCCGATACGTTGGTCCACGTTCCCCGTGGATTCATTGGACAGCTGGGTCTCCATCAACACCTGCGCTTCCTCGGGATTCCCCAGAGCTGTTTGCTGGCGCACCCCGGTGAGAGCGCTGTCAACTTTCTCCTTGTCGGCAGAGGGAGTGGCTCTCCCCCTTGGCCGAATCAGGTACCGCACCCTGCTCAACCTCTCTATGAAGTTACGATGAGGGCGCTCCGAGCTCTTCTTCTCAGTGTCAGACGCCATGAGTGTCATTTTGCTGCTCACCCAGAGTTTCTGGCAAATGAAGCCGTACAACACAACCATGACGAAGAGGGGGATGATATAATAGAGGAAGAAAAATGCCAGGGTCTGCTGTTGGATGGTTTCTATGGAGGCGGATCCAACGCAGTAGCTCGGCTGGCCCTCTGTCACCGGCACCTGATAATACCAGATGGTGTGGATGTTAAGCGTGGCGCTGGCGATCCACACCACGGCCATGGCCACGGTCAGACGGCGAGCCGTCAGCAGGCGTCTGGTCTCAAGAGGGCGCAAGATGGCGATGAAGCGCTCCATGGAGATGACGGTCAGGATGAAGATGGAGGAGGTGGTGGTGGCGCTCTGGGCATAGTTGTGGATCTTGCACAGGAAGTCGCCGTAGTACCACTCCTCGGAGACGAAGTAGAGAAGCTTAGGAATGACGCACAGGACAGAGACTAAGAGATCGGCCACGGCCAAGTTAGCAAGGAAGAAGTTCGTCACGGTGTGCATGGAACGATTGTGAGCGATGACGAAGATGACCAGCAGGTTGCCCGAGAGACCCAGGATGAACGTCAGCGTGAAGCTAAGGATCAGAATCTCCTTGAAGGGTGATAGAATGTAAATGTCAACCCATTCCTCTGTGTAGTTCCCATCTGTAACATTCACGAATTCTGCGTGAAGAGAACAAAAACGAGAATCTTCGTTGAACAAAAAAAATTGTATTATGGCAATGGCTCCAAGTTGATGTATTTGCCTTTGTGCTGAGAATTTGAAACGTGCAACTGAATCCTAGATGTAGTTTTAACGACAGCAGCTTAATAGAACCAGCGAAATTAGTGTCTGTCTTACAACGGAATACTGAGGCCAGACTGGTACCCAGCCTCACTCATCCTATATGCTGCAACGCGCCCTCTACAGTTCACATTGTGGCAATTATGGAAGCAAGGAACACGAGGTGATGAAGCAAGTGATGACGTGCTTGCCAGTCACCACGGCAACATTGAGTAGGATCATGTGAATCCATACCATTAGTAGAGGAACAAAGTTAGCAGCATAAGACTTCTCTTGCCAGCTATGGTGTTTTTTTTTCCAAATCCAATAACACATTTCTCCCGATGATCCTAGAGGGGTTTCCAATGGCATTTGGCGGGAAAACAGATAAAATGTAGTGCCATTTTGTTTCAAATCAAAACCGATTTATCGAAATCACAAAGTAAACTGACGTCAGTGGTTACCCGAGAGGAGCTTACTGCGCATGCGTCAGCGGATAAGAATCAAATCCAGACAATCATACATCTACGCTGTGTACCGGTGCCTTTCTCAAGAATTAACTGAAACGGGTCT